ACTATAAACATTATGATATCAAAATCATGAATATAACCACATGCCTTTTGGTTAATTCGAATTAAGCAAACAAAACCTTTTGTAGTCTCCTTTGAAAAACAAGCTCCAAAAATATGGTAGCCTCTAATGCGACACACCCAAAACTCAAGAAACTCTAGGATTGAAGTGAAGGGTTTTATAGGTTATTAAAATACATATGAAGCCAAAAACATTAACTGTTAAGTTCACATGCAACCTATAAAGGATCTATGTTTTCTCTAATTGATAGCAATAAACTGTGAACATCTAGAACCCTAATGGTAAACTATTATAATCGAAATATACATAGGAATAGGGTTACGTGCCTTTGATTTGTTGTAGCAAACAAATCACTTCAATCCCTTGTGTTTGTTGGTCTTAGAAAGCTAGCACTAAAAGGATGATGTCTTTAATGGCTCACACCCAAAAACTGAAATGCTAGAATGAGGAGGAGAGAGAAAATATGAGGGAAATTTCATTCCTGTGCTTATAGGTAATACCATGAACGAAAAATTCAAGCCAAGAGGTCATATTTATAGTTTAAGTAACTTGCAGACAAAACAAGATTTGAATTAATTAAATAATAGATTTAATCCTAATTCAAATCCTGTCATTTGATGCAATCAAAAGGCTTCCAGAAACCCTAGGAAACCTTCCAAAACCGTCCATACCATGGAGGGTTCTAGAATTGTTTCTTTTATTCAACTATTGAATAAATACAATTCACCCCTTACACCTTTAGTTAATTCCAATTAATCTCAAGTTAATTCCATATTAATTCTGATTAATAATTAATCAATTCTAATTGATTCTGCATTATTAATCATATAAATTAACAAATCGATTATTTAACAATTGATATCATATTAATTTCTTAATCACATAATAAATCAACAAATCAAATGTTTATTTCCATATAATATATTAATCACATAATATATTAACAGATCATTTTCCCATAATTTCCAATTAGTTTATTAATCGTATATTAATCTAATAAATTACACTTATCTCTCCGAATATCATTTCTAACTATTTCTGGTTATGAGGGTAACCGAAAAAGGTCTTTGTTTTTAACTACAAGAGTATACTAGTTTAGTTATGAGCTTATCCAACATGAAGGAGAGAGGGGAGAAGGAGGAGAAATTTGAATTTCTCTATGTGTATGTGTTAGGCCGGAAATACAAGGGTTAGGCCCCTTTATATACTTGCCTAATAATCTCGGAAACCCTAAATTTGAACTTAAAATAATAATATTTCAAATCAATATTTATCTAGTTTCCTTTTAGTGGTTGGAGGCTTCCAGAAAACCCTATCCAAGAGCCTTAAAATCGTCCCCCCTTAGGAGGATTCTAGATCCTCTATTTTGTTTAACTATTGAAAAATTACAACTCAACACTTGCATCTTTAATTCTAATTAACCGGGAATTAATTCCAAATTAGTTCTGATTAATTCTTAATTAATTATTAATATTTCTAATTAATATTTTAATCATACAATATATTAATAAATAATTTATCTCTCTCTCCTTTGATCAATCCAAGCCATTTTCTAGTTATGATGGTAACCCAAAAAGGACTTTACTCTTATTCATCAACATTATACCAATTTAGTTAGGACCTTAGACACCTTAATCCAACATTAATATCACTTGGATTTAATTTCTTCTTGTATGATCAATATCTTTTTAGTGTCTTCTTCTATCAATGTCATCATCTAAGATTTCAAAACATATCCATGAGGAAGTAACTTCATGTAATGTTTTCCATTCGGACATACGTATTATTTATTTACCTCTTCAAGAGAATGATTACATACCTGCACCAACGAAGTAAAATGAGAAGAAATCATAAAACTAATGGATTTATTTCAAAATTTGTTTATTAGTCATATACTATCCATATTTAATTAGAAACTAACATTCATTCATTATGAACTTTCTTTAATTATTGAAGAAGATAAAGAAAAGATAATGGAAAAACTTACAATAGCAAGTAGGTTCATAACCTTTTCTAAAGTATCTTGATTCCAAATATTTTTCATTTCAAGAAATAGGCATCCATCACAAAGAAATATACATGCGTTAGTATACCACTAAGAAAAAAAAGAACCTAATTATCATGATTTCCCTTGTCACTGTATGTATCAACCTTCTCTCATTTTCTTTGAATATTTAGATAACTGCATAACATGCACTTAAAAATTCTTTTCATATGCCTAACTTTCCAGAACTTGCATAACATGCACAATTCAAACAGCCACAAAACATGAGAACTAAAAACTCAAAATGTAGTATTTCCTAATCATAATCATAAGTCGTGAAATTTAAACAATGAAAATTGAAAGAAATGAAATCTATATCATTTGCAACTTACAGCTGACTAAAATCAATATTAAATATCATGCATTTCCTTCTCTCTTTCTTTTTCCCTTTTATTTTCCTATTTATTCAAATAAAGATCTTTAAAAAATCAATCAATATGAGGAAATCCTTAATATATGAATAGATTAAAAAAAACATATAATAAATTGTATATGTAACCAACGTAGGATTGGTTCTTAAAGAATCAACTATCAAGTTTAAGTTGTTGAACATCTTTTATGGTCTTCTTATTGACCGAAGGTCTTTTTCTCCTCTATGCTAATATATCATTTGTTATAAGGTCTATTGAGTTTTATTGTTAATAATACCACAAAATACCAATTAAATTTCATAAGTTAAATGTTAACACTAATTTGAAAAGTCATTGGAAAATGTGAAAAATACATGGGAGGTCTCAAATCAATGTGGTGCTTGGAAATATGTCTCTTTTAATATAGATATATAGATTCATCAACTAAAAGTCATTATATTAGTCTCTACGGAGTGGCTCGTGCTACCGGGCTGGCTAAGGGGCGCTAAGCTAAACACTGCTCTCTGGATCGTGTCAGGGAGCCAGCCTACCCTCACCACCGGTCTAGAGAGAAAGAGAGATGAGTAAATATGTTTGATTGGTGGTTGGGTTTTTGACTAGAACTTAACCCTCTTTGACCATTTTTATTAAGAAAGCTATTTTTTATTTCTAAAAAATTTAAATTTTCAATTTTATTCCAACCGCTATAAATAAACACTTAAACCTCAACATTTCATCACACGCAATACCATTCTTTCTCTCAGAAAACTTATCAATTCACCAAACACAATGTCTTCACCTAGCCAAAGCAAAACCCCAAGAAGAAACAAAAAACAATCTTCAAACCTCTCATCACTAAACCTTCCATCACCAACTTTTTATCGACCTTCACTCGATCAACCATCCATTCACCCGGTAGTTACTATTATCCTACTATGACTCCACAATTATATCCACTCCAACCATACTCTTCTCAATTCTAATCTCAACCCATGCCATTTTACCAACCCAACCCCAACCCTAAACTAATTTCCAATCCCAACCCATACCCAGTCCAAATCTTGAATTTGATCTGTTTAAGTCGGTTCAAGAAACCCAATTATTTTTCCAACCCCAAACTAATTTCCAATCCGAACCAGACAACCTAGTCGATGAGTCTACCAATTTTTCCGATAAAGGACCCGTTTCAAGAGCCTGAAGTTGTCCCCAAAGGAAAAAGTAAAGAAAAAACAAGGAAAAATGTCAAGGATGGGCAGTTAAATAAGATAAGGTATTAGCACAAGCATGGCTAGATGTATTGAAGGCATTGGGCCAACATTTAAATATAGAGTTTGGAAAGGTTTTTGTACCTGAATGCATAAGGCGTACCGCTCTACTAGTCAAGTATACTCGAAATGAAGGACCGCCAACAAAAATTCAATGGAGTTCAACGGCATCGACATGAACGCGACCCACGACCTGCAAAGCGGTGGAAATGAGGTGGATGTCTTAGCAAAATTTCATCAAATTTATAAGGCAAAAGTCGATAGAGCTTTTGCAAATGAGGCGTTTTGGGGAGTTATGAAGAACAAACCAAAATTGCTTGCTCAAAAAAATGTTGATGATTTTGCGGGTATGTCCACATGAAGTAGAACTTCTGATTCAACCCATAGTCAATCTTCTGATACACATATTTGGATTGACCTCAACAACGAAGATCCATATGAAGTTCCAACTCGTCCTATGGGACGAGATAAAGCAAAAAGAAAGCTAAAATGTGTTCAAAGTTCATCGAGTGAAGTGCAGGAGATGAGGAACGAGATCCACAGGTTGGATAGTAAGCTCGAAAAAATTTGGAAGTGGGAAAGGAAAGAAAAAGGAATCGTGCGCTAAAGCTATTTTTTAAATGAAGTAAGGTTCTTTGAAAAGGATCGTCAGATTGTGCCAAATGCAAAGGCGGAGATTACAAAGCAATATAATTGGGATAAGTAGTAGGATTCATGTTTTTAATCTAGTTTTAAATTATATTTTAAGTCCAGTATTAAGTCGTGTTTTAAATTTTAGGTATTAAATCATGCCTTTTAGAAATTGCTTCATGTTTTTGGTATTAAGTCATGTTTTAATTTATGTAGGCGTATTTGAAGTTTTAATATATTGTAACCTTTTTATTTAATATTAAATTTTTGTATTTTACAAATAAATAATTTATTTAAGTTTGAAAACAAAAATAAAAATTAATCTGATGTGTTAGGGGCACTACCACTCCTTATAAAATTCTAAGAAAAATATATTAGGGAGGTGACAGCAAAAAAAAAGCATGGTGCAAAAAAATGACATGAGAGTGTGCTAGGAGTGCTACTAGTCTCTTCAGCCTTAGAATTCATTGCATGTTATAAATTTTTATTCTATTTTACGTCAATCTTTGATCAAAAAAAGTTGTCTTTGGGGATTTTATTTTAGAGAAAAAAAACCTATTGTCCGGCGATTTCATAGAAGTCTTGATTGTCGACTCCTGCGTCTCCTCCGGCGGGTTCAAACACCGGTAGGAGTATATTCTAGTGGTACCATAATATGATTACAATATAAAGAACTATTAGCATTGACCTACGATGGTTGGAAACGAGAAATCAGAGAAGACAAAGTCTATGCAGTATAGTATTAGGAGTGTGGATAAACTTTCGGTGGCTTATTATGTCACGAATTTTCCTCCAGATGTTGATGGAAAAGATATTTGGAAGGTTTGCGAGAAAGTGTGGGTGGTCTCGGATGTGTATGTTGCTTTGAAACTCTCAAAAATTGGTAAGCGATTCGCTTTTGTCCGTTTTATTAAGGTTCTTGATGAAAAAACTCTTGAACTGCAACTTAGGGATACTTGGATGGGTCAGTATCATCTTTTCGTGTCATTAGCTAGATTCCATAGAGATGATGTGAATCAGGCTAATGATAGACCTCGTGATCATAATGAGCATAATATGGGATCCATGCATGCTGCCCGGAAGGGTTCTTATGCAAATGTTGTTAAGGGTGGGGTTATAGGGCCTCTTTATTTTGGTAAAGATATGAGTACATGCTCTTTACAGGTGGGGGAGATTTATAATAAGATTTCATTGCAAGCTTCTTTATTTTGAAATATAACGAGATGTAAGACTAATTCCAAAAACTTTTAGTTTTATTACGTGAAGAAGGTTTCCCTGATTCTCATATTTGATATGTTGGTGGTTATTGGGTCTATATTTCTTTTGATTCAGAATTGGTTTGTTCTAGCTTTAAGAATGTTAAGGGTATTCAATCTTATTTCTCTACTTTTAGACCAGTAGTAAATGGATTTTTGAAAGGGAAAGAACAATTTGGATTGAAATATTAGGCATGTCATGTTGTGCATGGAATGATACTGCAGTGAATAAGATTGAAAACCTTTGGGGTGAAGTTTGTTTATTGGAAGAGGATAATGAAGCTCTGTTGGCAGTCAAACATGTATGTAATAAGACTGATAAGCCGAATCTTATCTATATCATACATACTTATAAAGCTAGCATTTTTTCTTGAATCTCATGCATTTGAAACCCCATTTTTTAACTTCCTCAAACCACATTCATTTGAAAAACCCCCTTTTTAACTAATGCAACTCAAAAGTTTTCTTAATTATGATTTAACACTCAAAAGTTTTATAACTTATATTATGTTTAATTAACATTTAGTGAAAAGTTTACTATAAAAAGGTCAATCTTTTGTGTCTTTTGTGTTATATAAAATCTTACATGTAAGAAGGATTTGAAGATATTGTGATTCAAAAGTTTTCATATAGTTGAAGCATTCACGATCCAAATATGATGATTTGAAGAAATGGGTTATGTCGCATCAATGGTAATTGTAATATGATTTTTTCTTTCAACCAAAACAAATGAAGCTTTTCTATTCTTTCTTTTTATTCAGTTTCTCATTTAATCTTTATATGTGATTTGTGTGTATTACTCAGTCTTGAATGTGACTCTTCAAACATCAATGTTTTGCTTGGAATATCTTTCTGATTCTTCTTTTTCAAGGAAAATATTTTGATTGCAGGTTAGTGAAGAATTGTCATCAAGTTTCTATGGTTGAATGATGTTAAATGAAGAAAGAAGATTCATAAAATGGATATAGGTTTTTTTGTTTGAGCAAAGTTGACGATTGTTAGTTTTTTCTTTTGATTTAAATGTATGTTTATGTAACATCTTTATTTATATATTCAACCACCCAATGCTCTTATTTATTTGATTGTAGTTTTTCTATTTTGATTATGTTTATTTTCTATTATTTTTTTGTTGGGTTATCCTACACAACATATTTAAAAGACAATATTTAAAAGATAACATAATTTTGAACATTTGATATGTAATTATGATAGACTTATCATTGATATGTTCTTCATATGAAAGTAATTTATCCATATTACTACGACAAGAATTACATATGACTTTTACAAAAATATATATATTATATGCGATTTGTTTAACATGTATATGCATCTATTTATGTTATAAATTTATAATTAAATATCTTTATGTTTAATAATTAAAGGTATTAAAATGATGCATCAAAACCAATTATTTAGACGAATATAATAAAAAATAATAATAATAATAATAATAATAATAATAATAATAAATATACATTTCCAAGTACCGCATTCATTTGAAACTCACACTACAACTCAAAAGTTTTCTAATTTATGTATATTTATTAGTTACAACTCAAGAGTTTTTAACTTATGATTATTAATTAGTAATCACTAATAACTTTTTATTTTCCTTTCTTTTATAAGGTTGTAAAGTTTTGCTCATTAAAAACATTAATGTATTTGAAGAGATTTGTGATTTAAATATGAAGAGGTAATATAAATGTTATAATAGATGTTTTAGTGTTTTTATGTTATTAAAAGTTATAGTGTTTATTTTTCATATTTTTTATAATTCGTTGTGTGTGTGTATATATATATATATATATATATATATATATATCTTTTTTAATACAAATGTTATAATAGATTTTTTTCTATTTTTATGTTACTAAAAGTTGCAGTTCATATTTTTGTTCATACGTTTTGTTACCCGTTATATTATCATTCATTTGACATAAAATTTACACAATTTTAAACGGTTTATAAATTAAACTATAATGTTTAATAAAACTAATATGTTAACCATATGTTTGCTTTACTACTAACATTTTGTTTCAAAGTAGAAATATTAAATAATAACTTGGTAAAAGTTATTATTTTAACTATATAATTCTATTTTCGCGCAACGCGCGGGGATTCGCCTAGTATACTTATAAATGAAGCATTTTTCATTTCACCACATTCATTTGAAACTCCCATGCATTTTTCCTTTCACCACATTCATTTGAAACTCCCATGACTTTTCAATTTCTTTTTAATAATGATTATAACTTGGTAATAGATTAAATAAATATAAAGCGTAATCATATATAAACTAAATTTCAATATTAAAAGAATATCTTTACTTCTACTTATAAAGTTATATTTTTTAACTTTTAACATATTATACTTAATTTATTAGTTTTAATATATTGTTGGATGTAAACCATTATCATTTTAAATCTACAACTTTGAACAATTTGTATAAAATACTTAAATTATAAATTTAAATATAACATTACAAGATCAACTTAAATATATTTTTTAGTTTAATTTAAACAACCCAAATAATATTTTATAAATAGTTAAAAGTGATAAATTGTAGTGTTTTCTAATAATGATTATAAGTTTGTTAATAAGGTTAAATAAATATCAAACATAAAGTATAATCATAAATAAACTAAATTTTATTATTAAAATAATATATTTACTTCTACTTATAAAGTTATGTCTTTAAATTTTAACATATTATACTTAATTTATTAGATTTAATATGTTGTTGTATGTAAACCATTATCAATTTAAATCTACAACTTTTGAACAGTTTGGACAAAATACTTAAATTGTTAATTAAAATTTAACATTACAGTATCAATTTAAATATAATTTTAAGTTCCACTTAAAAAACTCAATGAATATTTTGTGAATAGTTAAAAGTGATAAATTGTAGTGCTAAATGCAAAAAACTAAATTATAATTTCAAATTAACTAAAATATTTCCTAAACATATTTGTATAATCGTTAAAAGTTTTCAAATAAGTACCTTAAAATAACTTACAATAACAATAGTTAAAAAAAACTCTATATAAATGATTATATTGTTACATTTGAAATCAAAAAATAATGTTTGATGTTTTAAAAAATTATAATGATAGAAATTAAAACGTTAAACAAATAAATTTTAAAAAATTAATCAACAATAACAACAACTATAAATAACATTAAACCATAGATTATATTTGATTTATTCATGAGTAACTCGCGGGTAGAAGTCATTCAAACGGTTGAGATTATGCAATTATAATAAATGTATATATTATCATATAATTTAAAACAATCAATATATTATATCAATTTAGTATACAAATTATTATATCAAATTTAACAACAACGTTATTGTTATATTTAAAAAAAAACATATATCTGTAAAGATTTCAACTATATAGGTGTTCTGCGCAACGCGTGGACATTCGCCTAGTTCTAGATAAAGCAAAGATTGTTTGCTCAAGGTGTTGAGTATGAAGTTGTGGTTCGTGAATTATCTAACTGGGAACCAGAAATTTTGGAGAATGGTATGTCTCTAGATCATGATATTCCAGACTTGTCAGGTGAATTAGATAATGAAGTATGTTTTGATAATAAAGTTAATGAAGATAATTTGGATGTTAACTGTGACAAAGAAGAGGGGGAAATGGGGTGTTTTTCTAGTGGGAAAAATTATAATGATCAAGGTGAAAGAGGTGTTGGGTTTTTGGATAGGAAAAGAAGATTCTTTAATACTAGTGGTGTGAAGAAGAAGGGTTGTTTTTTCATAATGTCGTTGATGTGTCTCCCCCGAAAGAACCTGACCCGATCGTTAAACATCAAAGGGATGTTGAAGCGACTCTAGTTATGGTAGCAACACCGGTGGTTTCTGACCATTCGCCAGTCCATGCAGGTGATCCCCTACCTGATGCAGACTCGGTTCTGATTGTTGATCCTCCATCGATGGTGGAGAATCCACCATCTCAATCTGTTTCTTACTCGTAGACCCCTGGATTTCGTAAGGATGATCTTGGAGCTACAGGAGGTGATTTTGGGGGTTTGAATGATAGGTCCTCTAGTTCTATCAGCTCTTCCAAGTTGTTAAAAAAACAGGTCCCGATTGTGGTTGAAGATATTGACGATGTCTTGAAGCAATATTTTGAGATAGATGGGTTGCTTGGGTATGATATGGGGGAAACAAGGAAAAGATTAAAAAGACCTTGTCTAGTATTGGTGTTATTTAGGTGGACCAATGAATTTTCTCACTTTGAACATATATCGTACTCGAACGTTTTTAAAAAGAAACTAGGTGAAGTCTGTTTGGTTTTAGTATGGGGTGTCGTTTTTGGGTCTCCAAGAAACGAGAATGACAGTTGACTTGCTTAAAAGTTGTAGTATCTGGGGCAATTACATGTTTGATTTTTCTAGTAGTTTTGCTCGTGGTCGATCGAGCGGGATTCTTTCCATATAGGATCCTAATGTGTTTGTGAAGACTAGTGTCAGCTGAACAAATAATCTGGTTATTATGGGTGGTATGTGGGTTCCATTTAATATGAATTTCTTCATGGTGAATGTTTATGCTCCTAAAGATTTAGCAGGGAAACAACAATGATGGGATTATTTACTTCTTTTGTGCATAGAAATGGGGGTGAATATTTTTTTGGCGATTTCAATGTTGTTAGAGAAGCTTATGAGATATATGAGTCGGTCTTTTGCCATGTCTCTACAAGTGCTTTTAATGACTTCATTGATAATCTGGGTGTGGTTGATGTACCTATGAATGGAAAAAGATTTACTAGAATTGATGGTATCGGAGCTAAGTTAAGCAAATTGGATCATTTCCTTGTCTCTGAAGGAGTGTTTGATCAGGTTGAACACTTGCAAGTGTCAGCCCTAGATAGGAAATGGTCTAACCATTGTCCTATTTTGCTTCACGTTAACTCGGTTGATTATGGCCCTTCTTCTTTTAAATTTTTTAACTCGTGGCTTTAAATGGAAGGATTTGATGAGGTAGTCAAAGGGTCAGTTTCGGAATGTGTGGCTGATTGTGGCTGTAGTAAGTTTGTTGTGTTAAAAAAACAAAATCAAATTTATTAAAACTAAAATTAGATCATGGGTTTCAGAGGCTAAAACTAAGTCTTAATTGGATAATTCTATATTTTTAGCTCGGTTAAAAGAGATTGATTATGAGATTGATGTTGGTAATTGTAGTGATAGTATTATCTCAGAAAGACAGTATATTCTTGGTGATGTTGCAAAGCTCTATAAAATCAAGTCCTTAGATGTTGCTCAAAAAGCTAAAGTGGCGTGGTCAGTGGAGCGAGATGAGAACTCTGCGTTTTTCACGGAATGTTGAAGAAACGTAGACGCCAATTGATGATTATAAGGATTTCTCTTAATGGGGAGTGGCATTCAGATCCTAGTAGTGTGAAAAAAGCTTTCTTTGATTTCTATTCGAAGAAATTCCAGCTGTTTGATGGTATTACTTTGCCTAACCGAAGTGATAATTTCAGAAGTATTGATCCAGGTTTAGCTTATTCTATTCAGTCCATGTTTACTACTGAAGAAATAAAATTGCAGTTTGGGATTGTGGTTTGGATCGTGCTCGTGGTCGTGATGGGTTTACATTTTGGTTTCTGAGACACTTTTGGGATTGTCTAGGAAATGATATTATTGCTTTTGTGCAAGAGTTCCTCTCCAAACCTTCATTTTCTCGCGGGTGTAATTCCTCATTTAGCACTCTTATTCCAAAAGTTGATAGTCCTATTTGTAACGCCAGTAGATCCGGGCTAGTCAATTTAGAGATAATAGGGGTCGAAAACGACTTTTTGACAAAAGATTATTTAGAATAAATAATCTTAACCAAGTTGTAGAATACGTCTCAAGGGTTCCGTACATATAAAGAACGTTGAAATCCGAGTTATAACGAAGAAGTTATGGTCCGTCGAAGTTTTATGGCAAAACCGGCACGACACCGGGAGACGTAAATAGTGAATTTACGATGGAGGACTTTTTAGCCTTAGAAATCTAAAGAAAAGTTGTGGTATATGTTAAACCGAGAACATACAGAAAAAAGAACGCCCAAATCTGACTTCGTATGAGGAAGTTATGAATTTTCTAAGATTTGGCTTAGCAGTGCACAGCCCGAAACTCGAATTTTAGATCGAGCGGTTTTTGGCCTACGCGACCTAAATGAGAATTGAAGATCTCATTAATAGGAACTCAACGGTAAAAAGACAGACAAAAACAGAGTCCGTATGTAGAAGTTATGAATTTTACGCGGACATTTAACAGTATAATCTCCTCGTACTTTTAAATTTAAGATCGGTCAAGAATTCGCCGATGGAGTCAAAATAAAAGTTGTAGATCTTATTTTTACCTACGCGTGGATATAAAGAACGTCAAAAACGGAGGTCGTATGTGAAAGTTACGGATTTTAGAAGTCGGAAGTGTGCTGTGCGAAAATGGGTGATGTGGCACAATCTTGGCCATTGCTTTCTCCCCAAGTCTTGCCACTAGATGGTGACATGTGGCACCAAGTTCAGTCATTTTTCACCCTATAAATAGAACCTCTTCCACCCTCATTTTCTTCACACCTTTCCCATTCTTTCTTCTCTTTACTCTCTCTCTAGAACCTCTCTCTAGCCCCAAAACCCCCCGAAAAGCCTAGGGAACCTCCCTAGCACGAGGCGGAAGCCCCGGAGTGCTCGACGGCTCCGAGAAGAAGAGCTTTTCGGCTCGGGAACGCTGCTCCAAGCAAAGCCCGGTTTTCTATAAAACTCGCTGTAAGTGAGCTAAGCCTACGCTATTTTTAATATAGCTTTTATTTAATTATAGTAACGTTATTAGGAACTTATAATAAGTACTTCGGCTATTATTATGGGTTATATAAGTATTGTTTAACGCTTATATAACAGTAATAATAGCTAGACTATTAATTAGTCTCGGTGAATAATAGACTAAACTCTAGCGGTAATAATACTAGGTTTCGTCGAAGGAAATTATTTTTTAAGAAGCGAAGCGCTGTCTGAGTTCAGAATCACCACCTTTTCAAGTGAGTGCATAGTTACTTTCATCTTACACATAGATATGAAGTATTTTATATAAATTACATGGTATGTGTGCATATTATTTGAATACTTGCTTTCTATGTTGGATGAACGATTTTATACATGTTTTAAATAATTTAAAATGTATATGTATTTTATATCTACGAATATGTTGGGTAAAACATGGGTAGATGAATGATGAAAGATGATATGAGTGAACATTGGCAGCTATAGACTTAGTGCCTAACAAATAACATCGGCATCTATGGACTTAGTGCCTATAGAATAAACATTGGTACCTATGGACTTAGTACCTGTTAAATAAACGTTGGTAGCTATGGATGTAGTACCTATTAGCTGAACACCGGTAGCTATGGATTTAGTACCTGATGAATGAACTTTAGAAGCTATGGAATTAGTGCTTTACGAACAAGCATTGGCAGCTATGGACTTAGTGCCTATCATATAAACCCTGGAAGCAATGGACTTCAGAATAAACGAATGCAGGATAGATGACTCTTAGGGTAGATTCTTAAGAGAAAGGAATATAATGGGGATGGGTAATTGGGCTGATTGTTTGATGTTTAAACATAATAATTATATTATTGTGGGTTGAAAACCCTATTTACTCACCAGGTTTCCCAACCTGACCCACTCAAGCTTATTTGTATCACAGGTGTCGATACGAAGCCACTTTACACTGAGAGATTTAAAAGAGATGTAGATCACTAGTGTAAATAAATGTAAGTTCTGTTTATGCTTATGTTTCTGTATTGACAATGACATCCCAAGGTTTTAAAAGGAATAAAAATACATTTCTTCGGAAATGCTTTGATAATGTATTTATCATGTTTTTCTGGGAACAAATTTCACAACATTTTTATTAAAAGAAGTACTCTGATTTTTATAAAGCATAAACAAAATCGGTCTTTTCTGGCCGAGAAAATGGGGATGTCACACTATTGATATTAACGACTATCATCCTATTAGTCTCATTGGTATGCAGTTTAAGGTAATAGCTAAGTTGTTGGCTAATAGATTGGCTCCAGTGTTGCATGATGTTATTGGATTAGAGTAGTCTGCTTTTCTTAAAGGCAAGCAAATTTTAGATGGTCCTATGGTGATTAATGATTTGGTCAGATGGTTTAAAAAGAGAAAGAAGAAACTTATGATTTTCAAAGTTGATTTTGAAAAAGCTTATGATTCTATCAGCTAGGATTACTTGGATAATATTCTTCTTCTCATGGGATTTGGAGACAGGTGGAGGACTTAGATTCGAGCTATATTTTCTAATGCCAAATCTTTGGCTCTGGTTAATGGTTAACCTACTGATGAGTTTCCTCTTTTCAGGGGTTTGAGACAGGGAGACTCGTTATCTCCTTTTTTATTTAAAATTTCTATGGAGGGTTTGCATGTGGCAATGGAAGATGTTGTTGCTGAAGGAGTGTTTCGGGGTGCTCCTTATGGTTCGGATGTTGGTTCTATTTCTCATTTGTTCTATGTAGATGATGCTATTTTTCTGAGAGAATGGGATGAAGGAAATGTTCTTAATTTGATTCGAATTCTAAGGTGCTTCTATTTGGTCTTTGGGTTAAGGATTAATCTCCTTAAATCTAATATGTATGGTATTGGAGTTGGAGATACTGATGTAGTTCGTTTGGCGTCCATCACCGGTTGTGCCTCTGGATTTTTTCCTTTTATGTATCTTGGAATTCCCGTTGGCAAATCTATGGTGCGGGTTAAAGGTTGGCATGTGACTATAGATCAGTTCAATAAAAGGTTATCAAACTGGAAAATGAAACTCCTCTCTATTGGT